ATTTGACATAATCTATACCGAAAATATTTGGTACAGCCATCTGTCTTTGGTAATTACAGACAAATATAGGGTTGTGTATTTGTTGCATAATGTTTTAGTGCAGAAGTAATGTTTGGTAGCACAATTTTAAGAACCAACAGGAAAAGAAAACCCATCTTTCACCAAACTTATTTGAAAATGTTAAGGTTTTCCTTGAGGTGATTGTTGAGAAAAAAAGGTGGACTGAATCAAAACTTTCTGTTCATTTTGCTTTTTCAAGAGTTGGTTTGCTTACTCACCTCAAACTACGTCAGGCTGAATGTAAAAATCAATGATCACTAATGATAGTACGGAAAAAATCAGAGCATCCAAATCCAACTGGTTGCAGAGTCCAGTCAGTCCAAAACGCTGCTGATGGAAAATAATGACAACATGCCAAGGTTATTATCGTTAACTAAAACTAAGGGAATGAAGAAAACCTAATTTAAAAAAATTTTTGTTAACTGCAATATAAATAAAAAGTAGGACTTGCAAAAAACGAATAGTACTGAAACTGTAATAGTAGTTTACAAAAATAATTAAAACTAACTAATTCTTAAGAGAGAATGTGCTAAGTTTTCAGTCTGTCTTTATCATAATAAATCAATATGGGGTCTATTTTCCCGTTGCTGTTTTTTTTCCTCTTTTCGCCATATTGCATTATGTCAGCAGATGGCAGTTCAGCAGTCAGGTCATTTGTGTTGCTGCTGTGGTCTGTCCGTATCTACAAATTTATTTATTTTATTTACTTGTTTAATTTTTAGTCTAGCCCCGCTAAGTAAGTCACGTTACATAAAAGACTGAAACTATAACGGAAACTAATAAAATCTAAACTGATTCGAAGCATTTTCAAAAAAGAAAAACTCAACTAGCTAACCAATACTAGTAATGAATTAAAACTACAATAGAATTGAAAATCAATAAATAAAAGTCTCAGAACTATTTAAACCTTGCAGCCCAGCAGATACTATCGTTATTGGTCCCTTTTACCAGGGGTGAGCTCCAAACATCTTTGTTTTCATGGTGCATTTAAGGACACCTCATACACTGCAAAGTCCACATATCAAAACAGTTTCAGGGTTATCTAAATTTTATATATACATATACATTCTAACTGGATAATAACTCATTTTTAAGTGGTCTTTGTATTGTCAGTCTGTGAGCTTACCCATTTATTATGAAACACCAGTACGTACCGAACTGTACTTAATGGTTGCTGCACAACCCTCACTGACTGTTCTTAGTCTAAATATTCTGAAAACAGTCAGAGCTGAAGCTCACTAATTAGTTTTCATCTTAATTGTCCAAATTCATGGAAACCATCTGTGTCTTTAACAGAGTTCCTGTGATTCAGATATTGACATGTTGTTTACTAGGAATGGGACTATGAAGCTGCACAGTGAAAAAAAATAAAAATAATGATAATTGAGCTCCTGCTCTTTCTGCTTGTGCAAGTGTAATGGCCTTCAGAGGCTTTTGTTTTAGATACAGAGTGCCTTTTTATTATTGTCATGAAAGTCTAGCATTCACAAGAAATCATGTTTAAAAACAAACAAACAAAAAAAAAAAACGTGTGACTTTTCCATTACTTTTAATTATGATCATGTAACCAAATGAAAGCAGGATTTTTTTTGCTGGAAAGGAGTGCATAGATGTGTGGTAACACACTGCCAAGTTGTTTTTACCCATCAGTGTCTAAATATCCATCATTCTAAAGCAGGAATGAATAGTCAGAGGAGGAAAACATTCTCCTTTAATAGGAATCTATTATCATACTTCATCTACTTTTATTTGTTTGTAAAGAAACAGATAAAATGTATTGTTTTGCTCTTATTGTTAATGTTTTTGTCCAGAATACAGACATTTAAACCAAATAGTATTTCCTTCACTTCTTTGGTTCCTTTTATAAAAGAATAGAGCAGAGATAACCGTCCTTGCACCTGCCTTTAAATGACTAGCTCTGTTTAAATGCTTCATTGATCTAATTAGTTAAAATTAGCTGACTACGCTGACAGGTGTTTCATTTAACGCAGAATCAGTGTGTAAATTTCTGCCATGCAAACAGTTTCTGTTTGGGGACCTTCCAGATGGTTTTGTGTTACAAACCAGCTGGCATATTGGTTTAGCTGTCTGCTGGACATCTGCAAGTTCTGTCTCTGCAAATGAACTTGTCTTCTCTCCTGCTCTGCAAACATTTCTCTCAAGTACACAAACAACTGGAAAACTGAGTTTTTAAGTGCTGCAACTTAGGACAGGAACTTTGTATTTATATATGATGTGGCTTAGGAGGCAAGGGTTTGTCCTGCAACCAGAGGGTTGTTGGTTCAAACCCGTAAGACACTTCATTCCCTAATGATGGTGGTCAAAGGGTCCAGCGGGACTTGTTTGCAGCAGCCTGTCGGTGTGCCCTAGGGCAGCTGTGGCTACAGCTGAGCTTTACCCTGAAGGCCACAAGCCAACACATGGTCTCAAATAAGCTATGTTTCTAAGTTTTTATTTCACCAGCTACAGCTCAGCTTACCACCATCAGTGTGTGAATGAATGACTGAATGTAATGTAAATCACTGTGGAGTTCCCCATCCTCAGGCTCCCTCATGTGAAGTGGAGCTCTGTACCTACTATTATTAATAGTAAATTTGTTTTATGTTTTTTTTATTTTTTTCCAAAATGTTTGATGGGTATTTGATTACACTCCAATATCATGGTAATTTCAAGAGTTCTGCAGCCCTCTAAAAGTTTTTTTTTTTTTTTTTTTATCAAGATTTTTGATTTTTCAAACACTTAAATATGTTCTTTGGCATACTTTATCTGACGGAAAGAGGTTGCCTAATAATCATGCACGCCTTGAGGTAGGGTGTTGGTTTCCTTAGGCCCCACCCTCCATGTTTACACCAATACAGCTGATTTGTTTATATACAACAAACTTTCACGTTCATTGAGCTTGAAGTTGGAAGAAAAATGCATAAAAATGATTTCATGGTCTAAAATTTGACTTGCCTAATAATTATGCACACAGTGTTCATGGTTTCATTTTAGCCAGGGCCTTTGCAAGTAAATATGTACCCTATTCCATCCCTTTCTATTTCCATGTCATACTTTTACACTTAAAGGGATAGTTCGGTATTTTTGACATGAATCTGTATGGCATCCCCATCACCAGTGTCATGCAATC